TGCCCGCACCGGCCCCGGCCGCGCGGAACCTGAGCAGCCCCTGCCCGGGATCGCAGCACATGCCGGTGCCGACCTCAGGCATGCGGCGCATGCTTGGCCCTGCCTCCAGTCACGTGGCCTGTGAGCGGCCCTGCCCCCGTACGTGCAGCGCGTGAGCGGCCCCGCCCCCAGGCGCCCGGCAGCCCCAAAACGTTGGGGACCTCTGGTCTAGAGAACATGACCTATGAGGGAAGGCTGAAGGAATTGGGTTTGTTTAGTTTAGTAAAGAGAAGATTGAGGGGGGACATGATAGCAGTTTTCAGATATCTAAAAGGGTGTCATAAGGAGGAGGGAGAAAGCTTGTTCATGCTGGCCTCTGAGGATAGAACAAGCAGCAATGGGCTTAAACTGCAGCAAGGGAGGTTTAGGTTGGACATTAGGAAAAAGTTCCTGTCAGGGTGGCCAAACACTGGAATAAATTGCCCAGGGAGGTTGTGGAATCTCCATATCTGCAGATATTTATGAGTAGGTTACATAAATGTCTATCAGGGATGGTCTAAACAGTATTTGGTCCTGCCATGAGGGCAGGGGACTGGACTCAATGATCTCTCGAGGTCCCTTCCAGTCCTAGTATTCTATGATTCTATCTCTGGCCTGGATATTCCAAATGCAGCTTCTAAACTTCTACAGTACACATCCCAAGCATCCCAGCTTTACTCCAGAGGTAGGATCAGCAAAGACTACACTCCATCTCGAGGCAAGCAGAATACTGCACTGTTATGATCAGCGCATTGTGTACGCAGGGATGTGGAGCCTCCACTGGGCACATCTCCAGGTAAGGGTGCCTGTCATGTATTGTTTTATAGAAAACAGGGGCAACCATGTAATCTTCAGATAGCCACTCTTAGGAGATTAATTCCATCAGCCTATGTTGTATTTATATCACTTTGGTACTTACTTGGTTACTGCTTCCACCTCAGGCCTCTGAGATTTTTTGTGTATATTTGGGATCCATTTAACAATCAAATTTCCACTGTCTGGATAATAGTCCTGCTTGGGAGCAGCAGCCTCACTGAGCTCGATCACTTGGAGCTACAACATAGACATGGTACGATCAATCACTTTTAGAGGTGCTATTCCCCGAGCCCACAGTGAGCCAATTCCAATGGTGCTGTGGGGTCACTGTACTACTGCAGGTGTAAGTGCTACACTCTTCATTTCTTTCAGGTGAGATAACTATAAAAAATGCTCCAATCGCTTGAGATATTAAAGATTCTATGACACTAAGGCTGTGTTTACATTGGCACACTTTTCTGGAAAAGGGATGCTAATGAGACAAGTCGGAATTGCAAATGCCGCGGGGATTTAAATATCCCCTGCGGCATTTGCATTAACATGGCTGCCACTTTTTTCCGGCTCGGGGCTTTGCCGGAGAAAAGCGCCAGTCTAGACGGGATCTTTCAGAAAATAAAGCCTTTTCCGGAAGATCCCTTATTCCTGATTTTAATGTTGGGTAATGTTGCTGGAGAAAAACAAGTGCTGCATTTCACCCCAACGGTGAATGATTATTTTAAGAAGTCAACAGAGCAGCTTTGGGATCCAAGGCACTAAGTAAATAAGTTTTAAATTATTATTAAAAATTAAAATACTAAAACCAAAAAAAAAAACCTAAAAATAAAACTAAAGCAGATGCAGTGTAAATGAGAGGAATCAAGTAAATCACTGCAATATTAAAGGGGAACTGTAAAAGAAAACGTACTTATGACTTTTGCTCTCCTTGATGATTCCATGTCACAATTAAAAAAAAATGCTAAAACCTCTGCTTGTTTTTTTATAAAAAAGCATAAAATCACAATCTTGCTGGTTTTTCCAGAAGACCCTTTTGGGGGCTGTAAAACAAGATTTGATAGGAACATTAGAGCAGCTTTCCAAGCCCTCTCACAGCTATCTAATTGTCAGGGTCGTCAAACACTGGAATGAATTGCCCAGGGAGGTTGTGGAATCTCCATCTCTGGAGATATTTAAGAGCAGGTTAGATAAATGTCTAGCAGGGATGATCTACTCTAGACAGTATTTGGTCCTGCCACGAGGGTAGGGGACTGGACTCGATGACCTCTCGAAGTCCCTTCCAGTCTTAGTATTCTATGATTCTCTCACCTCCCACATGAGGAAAGGAATGAACACACTGGAAATGTTCAGAGCTGTTTAAAAGGGAGAGAGTTTGCTTAGCTGGATTTCCCAGAGCATAATTTCAAAGAAAATAACTGTAAAAACTGTGCCAACACGTCTTAAAAAAAATAAATAACTGAATCAATTTCCATTATTGGATGCAAACCAATGATGAACAGTAGGCTTTAGCAGAATATGATCATTTTAATTTTGATGGATTGTATCAATGGATATTTTAAAGCATTTTTATTAAATTCCACTTTCACAGCTATATAAAATTATGGGTTTTAAGAAATAAATCCATTTTTATTAATTTAAATGTTCACAGTTGCAGGAAATTATGGGGAGAGGGATGAGAAAATTTACAGACTTTGGGTATATCTACACTGCATTACTCTTTTGAGAGAGGAATGCAAATGCAGCCGAGCAAAATTGCATATGAAGCGCAGATTTGAATTTCCTGAGCTTCATTTGTGTAATCACATCCGGCCACTATGTCGAAATACCCATTTTCGAGATAAAAAACGCTGTGTAGATGAGGCTATTTCGAGAAAAAACCCTTCCTTCAAAATAACCCGTTCTCCTTATATAATGAGGTTTAAGGGTTATTTCTAAAGAATGATTTTTTCTTGAAATAACCGCGTTTACACAGCGTTTTTCATCTCAAAATAGGGTATTTCGACATAGCGGCCGGACACGATTATGTAAATGAAGCGTGGGAAATTCAAATCTGTGCTTCATTTGCAATTTCACTTGGCTGCATTTGCATTCCTCTCTCGAAAGAGGAATGCAGTGTAGACATACCCTTTGAGATTTAAAAACTTAAAGCTTTATAGCTGTTAAAACAGTGTCAATATCGTATCAAAATATACAAAGTTCTGAAGCAGCATTTTCTTTCTGTAAATTTAAATTACTACTGATGGAAATGTGTTTTTGTTGTGTGTGTGGTGATATTGATGTTTACAGACATATACCTGTCGGCACATCTAGACTATGTGTGGTTTCCGAAAGAAAATATGCAAATTCGGCTTGAATTTGCGTATCTTCTTCTGGTTTTTTTCCCCGAAAGAGGATTTTCCAATATTTGGCCCCGTGTAGATGAAAAAAATGGAAGATATGCAAATTCAAGCCGAATTTGCATATCTTCTTTCGGAAGCCACACATAGTGTAGACATGCCGCAAATATCTGCCACCGATAAATGCTGTTTTAATTTGTGCCATAACACAAGAGTGCCCAAATAGTGTCCCACTGAGGGCACCTTTGGCCACTTAACCAGCTGAAAAAGTTAGCCCTGAGTTCTGTAAAAAGCAGATCCTGGCAACTACTCATCTTTCCCCTCTGTCACTCACATTTCCAACTTTATTCAAATAGGTGAAGCTCATCTCCCTCTGTGGCATCACGCGTGACTCTGCCACTGAGTTCAGTCCTGGGAAATGAGTTCTTTCTAAACTGAAATATAGGTACAAACCAAAATCACAGTGAGACCAATACAAACTAACAGCATGCAAAGGACATTAGCTGCTATTAAGGCTGTAGTCAGGGCTGGCTCGAGCCATTCTTGCATCCCGGGTGCCCCTTACGGCTGCAATCAGATGCCCACCCCCAGGTTGGTGCAGCTTCCCGGCTAGCCCCCTCCTTAATCCGGCCCTTGCTGTAGTAGGCAGAGACCTACGCAGATACAAAATTTGTATTGCATGCAAACTGCAAACATTGTCCATAGATACAAAGCAGATTTTAAGGGCTCAAGTAGTAGATTCCCCATCATTTACAGTTTTTAAATCGGGGGTACTGGGGGCTCAAGCTGGCACAGAAAACAGGCTCAGTGAGGGTCTCATCACATGGGATGACAGCACCAAATGGGGCCTGACCTATTACAAACACAATTTTGGCCTTACTGGCTTTGTCTTCATGCAAAAACGATGTGTGTTTTTCCATCGAGAAAGCTGTCCTGATATAAAATCTTAGCGGAGACAAAGTGCAGGTAGTTCTTACAGGGGGGGGGGGGAAAATTAATCAGTTATACATGAGCAGCAGGAGCCATAACCTCTGTATATTCATAAGCCCTAAGTATGAATATAGTTCATATACATATTAAAAACTGGCAGATAATGCAAGGAAAATAGAAGAGCTGCAGGGCTTTCCTTCTGAGCCAATAGCCTGAGTTTCTTGGAAGGTGCCTTTGTTAGATTGTTGTTGGCTAACTTGAGGTGAAATTCTAGCAACAAGAAGGTAGTTTGTAGTCCTTACATGAGTTAGCGGATGCAGTTAAAGACAAATAATACATCTTACACAGTACGGATGTAAAATCCGGATTAATCTGTTAAACACTTAAACATTAGATTAAGCTAATGTTAACTGATTAACCAAGTAAGCAGGATTCTAGGCAAAACATTCAATTTGTTTTTTTGGTTTAAACTGTAAGCTGTTTGTGGTTGGGACTGTTTATGGATTTGTGCAATGTATACAATGAGGATCTGGCATTAATTTGAACAATATGAATATTTCAATAACAATGTATCCTATATTCCAGGAGAGTAATCTGGTCTTTTAAAGGCATTTATTTTTAAGCCCCGATTGTATAAATCAATGCACACAGTTAACACTGAAATCAATGGGTCCACTCACATGTGTGAAGTTCAGCATATGTGTAATTTTTTGCAGAATTAGGGCCATAAGTGGTAACCGTTTGCTCTGTAATGTATGAAACACGGATAGGGTAACATGTTCCATGACCCACAGGAACTACCATCTCTCTCAAGGGTGCCACCATTCTGCTACAGAGTCTTAGTCCTGGGAATACTGGAAACATTCATAAATCATCCAGAGATTGGAGGTTGGCAGCAATTCACCTGACTTCAGAATTTCTTTCAAAGAAATCATAGACTGAAGTTTCATACAGAGAAGGAGAAAAAGAGGTCTCAAGTGCAGCCAAGGAGGAAATAGTTCTGTTACAATTGGAACATCTGATCCTTTCTTGGGGAGAACAATTGCTGGGAAAGTTTACAATCTTCAGTGATGGTAACTCATCTACAAATTAAAAGCAAAGACACTGTGAACACTGAGGATCTGAGGTTACAGGAGTCTACAATTAAAATGGACAATATTTAGTTAGAACTAAACGGTCACTCTATATATTATTTACAGCTTTGTCAGTATTCTATTAGCCCATTTTAATTGTAACTAATTAAAATGTAATTAATCCTATGCCTTCTATCAGAGAAGATCAAAATACTTTACAAACATCTGAAGAAGTGGGTTGTGCCCACGAAAGCTCATGAGACTAGCTATATTTTTGTTAGGCTCTAAGGTGCTACAGGACCATTAGTTGTTTTTTAATTTTTTTCAGTTACAGACTAACACGGCTACTCTTCTGACACTTTTACAAATAATAGTTAATTCAGCTTCATAATCCCTCCAACTCCCAACCCAGTTTAACCCACCATGGAAAGGGCAGCCACCTCTGCTCTATTTAATAATGCAGGGCAATACTACATAACAGTTTGAAAGGACATGAAGAATAATATAAATCTAATTTCAGGGAGAACTTTTAGTTAGGATAAATTTCATTGCCTCACTGGAATTTGGCTGTGACACCAAATTTAACATCTTGTTACACAGAAAATCAGGGGCTATTTAATAATCATAAGTGCTCAAGATCTGTTTTACCTCTCACATGAAAGATTATTGCTTTCAAAAACTGTGATGGGGCAGTCCATATTCTTTATGGAACTGTGCTTATGAATATAAATATAACATAACTGGAATATGCTTTATGCAGACTACGTTGCAAAGTATCATTGGAAAAGCTGCAATTTACTGAATATGATTCTCTCATTTGTTTGCACGTATCATTTTTGTAGACTCAAGTTAAGAATATTGAACTGTGTATCTGTAAATGCATATTTGCTGTTTTCAGTCACTCCCACTGATTACACTTTAAGGCTATCAGGGCCCGTTAGCAAAGAGACAATAGAGCTTAATGTTCCTGTGGACTTGTTGGTCAGCCTGTGAAGTATGGAGACTAGGGCCTTGCAGATACATGTGACCATGTTACTTGGTACTGGAATTTAATTTAGATAAATTCAAATGAGAAATTAGGCACACACATTTAACGTTAAGGGTGACTGAACAAACTACCAAAAGCAGTGGTGGGTTCTCAATCTCTGTATCCTGTCTTCAAATCAAGGCTTAAATTTCTTTCTGGATAATATGCTTTAGTCAAACACAAGTTATTGGGTTCAGTACAAGAGTGATGGTGAAATGTTATGGCATGTACCATGCAGAAGGACACAGTAGATGATCTAATGATCCTTTCTAGCTTTCAAAAAAAAGCTACAAACAGTCTAACTTGACCTGTTAACTTGTGTAAAAACAACAAATTGTACTAGGATTGTCCCTGAAGTTGGCTAACAAGTTCAGAATAAACTTAAAAAACAAATAGTCTTGCAGCACCTTAGAGACTAAGGGTATGTCTACACTTGCACCCTCTTTTGAGAGAGGGATGCAAATGAAGACATTCGAAATGGCAAATGAAGTCGGGATTTAAATATCCCATGCTTCATTTGCATAATAGCGCTATTTTGAAATAACAGTCGCTGTTAAGACGTGGTTATTTCGAGAGAAAACCTCTCTCTTGAAATAACTGGTAAACCTCAAAAGTGGGTGTAAGTGTAGATATACCCTAATGAAAGAAGATGGTATCATGAACTTTCATGGGCACAACCCACTTCTTCAGATGAATGGAGTTCAGAATAGAAGTTTCTCCTCTCAGGCTTGTCTCCGCTGGCAATTGCGCAAGAAAGCTTTTGTCATTCACAGGTGCTTAAAAACCCACCCTCCTGAATGGCAAAGCTTTGACATGGCAAGTACTAGTGTAAACAGTGCATTGTCCATGATAGCCACTCCTAGGGGGTGGAAGTTTTTTGTAGGTAAAACTGCCAACAGTGTTTACGCTGCCTGACTTTTAGGGAGAGGGCGGTGTTGCTAAAAGCTATGTAGAGTAGACATGCCGAAAGATAGGGTGGGCCATGGTCACTGGGTTTACCTTTGCTTTCTGAAGAAGAAACCCTGCAGAGTGTGTCAAAGTTTCTTAAACGGATCCGAGGCTGTCCCTGTTCAATCCTCCTTATAGTGTCCCAGCACTGTGGGTGTTGGCAGACAGCCATGTCACAGATGGTTTCGTCCCACTGGCTGACACCTGCAGTCACCATATTTGCAACCATCCAGACATTAATGAATAGCAGTAAGCTGGCAATACTGGATGTCTGAATACTCTGCAAAAACAGAAGAACTGAACACAGTGAGAAATGTTAACAAGAATCGTAACATTACCATAAAATAACAGCACATGAAGTAGTCATAATTTCCTACTTTTATTCTGGGTTGTCTTGTTAGGTGACTGTGATCCTGGGAACCCCTCGATGCCAACTAGCAGAGGGCTCACCACACTACAACACACTTTACGTCTGACACACTGATTACCGCCAACAAACTGCTATCATAATATGTATCACATGGAAACCTGCTGGTCCCGAACATCATTGCACGATGCATGAATAGCTTGTGTACAAAGAATGATAGATAGATAGATAGATAGATAGATAGATAGATAGATAGATAGATAGATAGTGCTTCTTCTGGGAGGTCGGGGCCGAAATGCGGTCGCAGGGGCCCCTTTAATTGCTGCGTGTCCGAGCAGACTCCCATCTGGCGAAAAGCGAGTGCTCAGGGCCGGATGGGGGCTGTGCTGGAAGAAAGCAAAGAGTGCTTCCAAAAAAAGGTGATGGTACGCTGCATATCGTAACAAAAAAAGGAATGTATATATATGTGCTAGAAATGTATTATTAAAATATATGTAGGAAGCAGCGCAATAAAGGCTGCCTGGCCAATTAAGCCCTCTCTGTGGCCTGCTTCTCATGGGGTGAGTTGACAGCATAGCGGGACAGTCCTCAGTGCTGCGCAGGAATAAAAAGCTCCCAATGCAACAGCATCACGTCACCCAGCTCCCACTTTGCCACCTGAGGGGGATTCCAGAGCCCGGGG